CATGACATTTTGTAACATACTTAAATTTTCATTTTGACATAACATAACCCTTTCAATCAATCATCTCTAATACATAAGCTTTTCTTTAATCTGTTATCATTTAATGAAATACACATAAGTTTTTCAAAGGCAAAGGTGTGATTTTGAACAAAATTCTTATCATACGCAATCCTTGCTTTACATTTGAAGACCCATACATCCGGAGTAATGAATACATTTCAATACACTATGAAATTAATAATACTAAATTACCATGCACATATGAAAACCTTTGTTTCTTACTTTAGTTTTGTACTAAGAACATCTTTCATGAGAATACCTTATTTTTTATTTTTTCTGTAACACTTTTAACCATGACCAGATTATTGGGGGTGCTTCCCAATAGACTCTGGAAATCTTTGGAGGCTCCTTATTAATGAACAAAGGTTGGCCACCCCTGTATTCACCAATTGGAGTCCTACCCAACAATTTTTCTGCTCAGAGATTATAGTTAAATGTCTTTATTTAAATATCTTCATTTAGACCAGCTGGAAATTTAGGTGAAAGCATGCTTTTAGATTTGCACCTCAATTATGTCATGAAAAATTTTGTTGAGCTCAAAAATGAAGGAGAACAGCTGTTCACACAATGGCAGACAAACACATAACAAGTACACAGAACATATAAACATTTACACGAAATCAGAGTGCACTCAAACAAACCTTTTACCAAATCATATTGTAATTCTATTACAATTTTAAAAATTTATAATCTAACTGTTGTTATAAATGGTCCCTGTGTATCATACAGACCAAAAAGCTATCTAAATTCAATAACATAAATTAGTACAGGCATATAGGCCTGATTCCATAAAGTCAAAGCCTATCATACTGGCTATGAGAGCCAATATGGCTGAAAATATATTACCAGCCATGAGTATTTTCCAGTGAAATGCAGCAGCTTCTCAACATCATGGGTTAGTTTCTTAAGTTGTCCCTAAGGTGGGGGTTGTGCTTTCTGAATGTTCTTGATTATTGTCTAAGCCTGGTGCTGTAGTGACATCACTCTAATGTTTTCCACCGGAGGACTCAGATTAAGTCTGATTCTTGTCGAGGTTTAATTCTTCTAGCAGGTAACTACACTTTATCTCCTGAATCTGTAATGACACAAGCAAATCCTCTCCCCCAAATTTGAACAATACCTTTTTCCCATTTTCCAGTATGAATATCTTTCCAAAAATTAGGTTACCGTATTGGTTCTGGTGGTCCTTTAATAATGGTGGCCCAAAATTTTTCTGCTGCTGTAGTAGATGAATCTTTACTAATATCCAAAAACTTAAAAGTGAATAAAGCTTTATGTAATATTTGATGTGGTGAACTTCTATCCCTAATTCCTCTTTTTTGTTGACCTAACATAAATTTAAGAGTAGCATGTGCCCTTTCAACCATACCTTGTCCTTGAGGATTGTATGGAATGCCGGTATAATGCTTAATACCCCACAAGGCACAGAATTGCTGGAAGGAATGGGATGCGTAGGCAGGTCCATGGTCAGTTTTAATTGCTTTGATTTTTCCTATGATAGCAAAATATTCTAACAAATGATTTTTTTTTTTTTTGGTTTTTCTCTGGTACTGGGAACAGAACTCAAGACCTTGTGCTTGCCAGGCAGGCGCTTTGCTGCTGAGCTAAATCCCCAGCCCCTAACAAATGATTTTTAACATGGGCAAATTTTTCTCCTGATTGTGCAGAGGCCCATATAAAACCAGAATATGTGTCAATACCAACATGTACAAATCCAAGTTTGCCAAAAGCAGTAATATGTGTTACATCCATCTGCCACAACTCGTACCTTGCAAGTCTCTACGATTTGTTCCAGGCTGAAAAGTAAGGTTATTAAGCATTCCACAAGTAGGACAAGCTAAAACCATTTCACCAGCTTGTTGAATGGAAAGTTGAAGGAATTTTTTACATAAGCCTTTGTTATTTCCATGAGTTAAAGTGGGAAATTCAGTAGCTAAACAATCTGGTGAGGAAAGAGCAACAAGTCAGTCAACTTCATCATTATATTTTACCATGTCACCAGGAAGATGTGAATGAGAGCGAATATGAGTTACGAAAATAGGAAATATCTCCCTCTGCAATTCGTCCCTGGGCCTGAAACGATAGAGTTTCCTCATTTCCTGTCTCCTGTAAAATCTCTTGTTTTGTTTCAGAATTTTTCTGAAACAGAAAATTTCCCATAACCTTGATGAACAATCCTGGAGACCAGGCTTACCTGCCCGCCGATTCTTCTCCGGTCCATTGAGCACTGACTTAATTTCCTTAATTCCCTTTCCCAGTGTCAAAGACTTACCTACATACCCTAGTCTTGAAGACTTATTTTCATACCCTAGTCTCATAGACTTACTTTCATACTCAGGTCCCTCTTCCTGGGGCCGTATGTTGGTATTAACTGTGGTGACAGGTCCTGAGAATGAGGCTCACGTGGATGAGAAAGGGAAAGTAGAAGAGAAACAAAAGAGCTAGAAGTCTGGGATCAGAGGGCTTACAGTCTCAGGGACTGTGGCCCCGATCACGTCTCTCAATAGCCTTTTTTTAAAACCAAGCACACAACTCAGACCAACAGGAGAAATTCATTATTCCTTTCCATTTCTGCCTCTCAGCTGACGATAACCATCCTCGAGCGAGCCTCCCACACCCCGCACTACGTGCACTCAGGACGGCTGGGGATCGTAAGCCAACCATCAATCCATTAGCAATCACAGTCCTTTCCCCACATTGCAGATGTTAGGGATTTTAACAATAACAATGCCTAAACACGATCATATCTATGTTTTAAACTTTCCTTGGGATGAGTATGCAAACTTAATTGAATTTAAGAAGTTTGGGGCACAGAAATAATTCCAGAGTGTGTGTTTGCTGTCCTAGGAGAGAGTAGAAGAGTCTGAATGAAGGTGGTCAGCAGTGGAAATGGAGAAGGAAAGGGGTTAAGGGTTACTAAGTCTGCCCTAGGTCTTGGTTCTTTCTAAGTACTACAAGAATCATTGCCTATTTTTTCTCTTCCTAACATGTATGTTTTCTTAATAACCAAGAATCAATTATTGGGGCCTAATATTTATTGTGTTGTTACTCCATGCCAAGCACTGTAATAGGGCTTTACATGCAGCGTCTAACTGTTGTCCTATTCATAAAGAATCTGAGGCCCAGACAGTTGAAGCAACTTGCCCTCGCTCACATAGCTGGTCAGCAGTGGAGATGGGTTTGAATCTTTATACCCCATCCACACCCCCTCTAAAACAGCTTCCTGTTTTGTCAGTTCTCACTCGCCTGAGCCCCTTGTCTTTTAATCTGAATTCTGTCCTTTCTTAATAGACACACTTTTTTGCTGTCTCATTTTCCCCAAAACTCTCCGATCAGATCAGCTAATATTCATGCAATATTGGTTTTGAATCTACGGCAGTATCTGTCTTCTCAGCAGTTATTTTCTCTTTAAATTTCGGCAACTTTGGCTTCTGTATCCTCTACACTTACTCATATTAATTATTGTCCTGGGAAGTTCAAACTATTTTGTGTTCCCTTGTGCTCATGAAAGTATTTTGCATCATTAATCATTCCTTTTGTCTCGAAATTGTTTCTCCCTAGAAACAATTACTCTAGAAAACCCTTATTCTTCCAACCTAGTCCTGGGTTAGCCCCGCAGGTCCTTTTATGTGTCTTTTGCCAGTAGCTTCCGATGGAGGAACTGTCGCATTTCTTCTGCGTTCCATGAATGCCAGTTCCTTTAGTTTCCATTTGCTTCCTTTTACTTTATTTTTTGTCCTCTGCTGTTCTCTGTCAATAGAAGTCCCGCACTTACTCTTCATCTTACAATCCCAATTATCATCACAAAATATAAATCTCTTCCTGTCTTAATTTCCCCAACATTTTTTGAACACTCAATTTCAAATCACCTGTGAAGACTTTTGGCCCTGGGGCTTATCAACAATACATATTGTATATTGCGGTCTTCCCGATACCTTTTTCCTGCTGAACTGGTCACAGGTCCTAGGTCTCCTTTTGTGAGCAAAGAAAGTTTACAAAGGATTCATCCCACTCTTAGTCTTTTATAGAACTCCTGCTTCCCCCAGGAGCTTAGATTTCTTTGTCACAATAAATGCTTATCAAACTGACAAAATTGAAGCCTGCCAGTATTAACAGTCAGTGGCCCAACTGGTTGAACTGATGCATCTCACCCAGCTTGGAGGTTCTGGAGAGCAGGAATCCTGTGTCAGGCACTGAGCTCTGAGCCTCCAAGCCAGTGTGATTCATTGATTAAACATTCCATTGAATCAACAACTGGGTCCGCTTCCAAGGACTCTGGAAGTCCTGTGCAAGGAGATGTTGAAAGTTCTTGCAGGGCATGCTCAGAATGACACAGAAATCAACACTATCTGAGCCACCGCAAATGCAACAGGGTTCTCGAAGTTCCAACTTTAAAATGGTAAGATGCAGAGTTCTCAGGCCAGAGAGCACATTCACTTCCCATTTCCAGTATCTGTACAACACACAAAAACACAAGTAAGTGAAAAGCAGTGCTGCTGGTTACTTTTGCCCTCCTTTTTTTTTCTTTTTTATTGGGGGGTTGGGGGTGGGTAGAGGGATGTGAAACAAGATCTCATTATGTAATGCAGGCTGTCCTTGAACTTCCTTACGTAGCCCAGCCTGGCCTCCAATTCATGACATCCTCCTGCCTCAGCCTCCCAAGTGCTGGGATTGCAGGCGTGCACCACCATGCCTGGCAGCCCTTCTCATCCCTTCCTCCGTGATCCTGAGGTGGGGGGTCACACAAAAACTTTGAGACAAAAGAACCACATCCCGACTTTGCTCTTTTGTTTGTTTGCTTTGGGGGCGAGGAGGGGTGGTATCCAAGCTCCCAAACCCCTCTGTGGTGCGATCCTATCCGTTTGGTATTCGGGGGCACTGAAGGAAACTTTTTTTTTTTTTTTTTTAAAGAAATAACTTTGCTACTTTTCATCTGTCAGTTCACCGCCAGTCACGCAGGCTGACGCTGAGGAGAAAGATCTCCCTGGGGATCGACTGCCAGAGGCAAGTCTAGAAGGCAAAGATCCCGAAGCCTGGCCCGGCTGTCTTTGGGGGCAGGTGACACGGCAGGGCTCCTCGCGCTGGCTTGACAGTGTCATCCCCGCCCACTGGCAGCAGCGCCGGCCGGGCTGCACTGGCGCGCAGGGTCCATAAAAGCCGCCGCGGCTCAGGGACGCGGAGCTCGCCCACCGCCTGCCGTCGAGCCGCCCGCACCATGCACGTGAACGGCAAAGTGGCGCTGGTGACCGGCGCCGCGCAGGGCATAGGCAGAGCCTTCGCCGAGGCGCTGCTGCGCAAGGGCGCCAAGGTAAGCGCGGAGGGGCCGAGACCTGTCCGCCCCCGCCCGGGGTTACTCCCACTCCGCAAAGCTACTGCGCTGGGGGCTGGGGCAGACCTTGAAAAGGACTGCGACTGAACCTGAACTCTGCCAGACTGCAGATCTAAGCAGGGAGCGTCTTGGTTTTGTTTTTTTGTTGTTTTGTTTTGATTTGTTTTTGCGCCTCTGTTTCATGAGCTGCTCAGGACCTTGATGCCTCCCCCTGCTATTGTAGGTAGCGCTGGTGGATTGGAATCTTGAAGCAGGTGTAAAGTGTAAAGCTGCCCTGAATGAGGAATTTGAACCTCAGAAGACTCTGTTCATTCAGTGCGATGTGGCTGACCAGGAACAACTGAGAGGTAAGACAGCGGAATCAATCTATCAGCTTGAAACACACCCTGAGCAAGCGACGACCCGAAGGCGGCCCGGGCAGGAGAGCTGGGCAAGGCACAGAGCCAGCCGGGCTACCTGCTGGAGAACAGCTTCTTTGAATCTCCAGAAGATGGCTTGGACTGTTCTGCTTCCTATTGACAACCAGTGGCCTTAAAAACTAAGGAGAGACAAGACTGCCCGAGAAATCCTTTTACTTTAGTCATTTGGCAGCACATAATGTAATCAAAACTCCTTTGTGTACTCAAAGACACCGCTGCTACAGTAATTATTAAGCGATTGCTGAGGGGCCCTGGAAGTGAAAATTTGCTAGGGCACTGTGGCAGACAACTTCTCTCAGAAAGCTGGAAGACAGAGGCAGTGACAGTCAAATGTGGTAGTATGTTTGTCTTTTGAAAATGTTAGCATGTAAGTTCAAGGGTCATGGTCACAGAAATCCTAGAGGCTTTTAGCCATGGGTTTTCCCCTTTGAAATGGTCCTTAAAATAATAATAATGGCACATTGTTAAAAGGACAGAAGAAAAGTCTCTGTCAGCCTTTCCTCGATGCTTTCCTGTTTCTGTCTACTCACTTAAAATAGATCATCTACTTTTGAAATATAAGCACTGGTGTGGACAGAAAACAGCTCTGCTCATATAGAGGGCCCAGTAGATTTGCATGCAAAGATTATTTCCCCGGGCAAAGAGAAAAAGATAAGATATTTGCATTTCCTAATGTTATATTCAAAGAGATTGAGTAAACTGTTAGGTACATTTTTAGCCCAGGCATCAAATAAATTCCATAAATTTCCCTGTAGTGCTCCTCTTTATGGGACATGGAAATGTGAATTTCTTCTAAAAATTTAAAAAGTATATTCTGTAAGAGTGAAAATGGATGGTTATGTTAGAAGAGATTGTACTTAGTGGAAATTATTCTAAAGGAGGTTATGTAATTAAAATTCACAAGTGCTGTAAAGACCTGTAATACAGATGACAAGCACTGGTAGAACAGCTCTATAAACACAGTGCTGGTAGAATGGCCAGAGGATAACTTTGCTGATTGCACATGATACTTCCCTTCAGGAAGAGAGCAATGTCAAATGCCAGCACTCATGCCACTGGAATAGGGGACAGTATTCATAATCTGAAAACTATTGCTGTCTTAACTTACGTTGTTTCACATGTGATGTTTAACCTGAATTGCTTTGCTTTGCAGTATTTAAAATTAATGCCTCAACTGTACACACATTACTCAAGGATAAGTGATGGTGGAAACATAATCACACCCTCCCCAGGGTGTGTTTGTCATGAGAAATCCACATGTGTGTACATCGGCAGTTACCTACATAAAGGAAAGCATGACACTAATTCTTTCAATTTCAGAACTTAATGTCGACCACAACTTTTAAAACTGTAGACACAATGAATTTCTAAAATACTAGAGATTGAATAGGTCTTTGGAGATGGTCTAGATTTGGCTTATTTTACAAATTAACAAACTGTAGCACAGAGAGCTCAGGTAAGTTATAGAGAATGCTACAAGAGCTTAAACTAGGAGTCATTTAAGCCCAGTGGAATGTCAGAGACAAATAATACCTCATGTCAGTGAAGGCAGGGCCTAGAAAGGCAAAGAAATGTATTGAAGACCAGAATGAAGAAAGAAAATTAAAGAAAAATTAGACAAACATATTTAATAATCTAATTCCCCATAAAATGGGACAGTTTCTGTAGTTATGAAGAATGGAAGTGATTTAGGGCAGAAGAGGAGGAAAAAAATGAAAAATTAGTGTTCCATGTATGACCTTTTCTGGAACCAATTTGAGATGTTCAGAAACAGTTTTAAAATTCCATGAAAAAGTAAACAGTTTTTATTTTTTTGTTGTTGTTTTCCATTCCAGTACAGTGACTGTGAAAGGGTACATATTATAAAGCAACTTGACAGAGTTTTCAGCAACTTACTTGCACAGCAGATAATCCATTTGAGAACTGGTAAATCAGTGCCTTTCTATTATGTGTTTGGTGGTTGTTAATAATTCTACAAATTTGCTTCTGCCAAAATAAGTTTATGTCAATCTACTTTTCAAAAGGAGTATATATGCTGGCTTGGAGATCTGAGAGCACATTTCTATCCTCTAGAATAACTACTGCAAATGTTATCTATACTCTCAAGTAAGAGAACTATACATAATAATAATATTGCCTCAGAAACAATTTAAGTCAGTAGAACTACATAAAAGGCTGCTTTGAGAAATAATGTTTCTCTCTATTGAGTGGTAAGACCTAGTTTGGACTGGATAAAGAGGACTTTCAAAATGTTTTTTTTTTTGTTTTTTTTTTTTTTTTTTTTTCCGGTACCAGGGATCAAACTCACAACCTTGCGCTTGCCAGGCAGACGCTGTGCCACTGAGCTAAATCCCCAGCCCCAGGATTTTCAAAAATTGAATATGTGGTTGAACAATGGAATTCATGATACGGAGCCCTCAGGAGCCAGACTTTACCCTCATTGAGCATAATTTTAATACCAACTAGAGTAAAGTAGTAATAAATAGTGATAAAGAGAAAAATAAAATAGCAAACATCAAAGTTTCACTAATCTAATAAAATCAACTGAATGAAATGTAGACTTTTATGACTAGAAAATAAAATCTTCCTGAAATAGTCACAATGGATTTCAGCACATAAGAAAACTGTGTTAATATAATACTTTTGTCAGTATAATATGGCTTATTAATAAAAGATGTCTGTCACAGTCAGTGCTCTTAGCTGGCTTAGAGATATGGCTGCTCAAACTGACTTCAAGGAGTACTTTGCTACAGGCTTCTCTTACCTTAGGGTACTCAGTTCTCTAAAATTCACCACATTAAGCTACTGCTTACAGACCTGTAATGGACATATAGATCATCCAGGGACATAGTAAGGTAAGATCCTGACTCAATAAGTATGTGGTGTTCAAAAAATTCTGTGTTTTTAACAACTTCTTGAGTAATGCTTACTGAGGCTGCTGGCCCACCAATTGCATGTTAAGAAGAAAGGAATTAAGTTGCAGGTTATGTGTGTGCTTTTCGCCATAAGGGAAAATAAATAAAAATTCATTATAGGCCATGAGGTTGGATTTAAATGCTTATATGGACAATAAAATGTATCTATAATGTCTTTTTTAAAATTAGATACTTTCAGAAAAGTTGTTGACTTCTTTGGAAGATTGGACATCTTGGTCAATAATGCTGGAGTGAATAATGAGAAAGACTGGGAAAAAACACTTCAAATTAATTTGGTAAGCTATCTTATCCATATTTATTACCTAAAATCATTTGATAAGGAGATGTTCATAAAGGAAAATAAAAGTCATAATTCCATACAAATAAAACAGTGACCTACAATATAAAAAGTTAGAAGTTAGAGAAGTCAGGGGAGGAAAGCATTTTCTCCTACAATTAGGAACATATTTGAGACTCAAAATTATTAAAATAAGCCTGTCTTAAGATATTAGGAGGATTTATTTCACTTATGAGTATGGTCTCTAGTTGCATCATTTTTCCCATTAAAACCTCGTTTGTCTTTTTTTGCATCTGAGTAATACTCCATTGTATAGAAATATCACATCTTTTTTATCCATTCCTCAGTTGATGGGCATTTGAGTTGTTTCCATTATTTAGATATGACAAATTGTGCTGCTGTAACATGAGTGCACATATATCACTGTCGTATGATGTTTTTAATTCTTCTGGGAAAATACCCAGAAGCGGAATAACTGGGTGGAATGGGACTGCTAATCTCAGTTTTCTGAATTTCCACACTGATTTCCACAGTGGTTTTACCAGTCTACACTCCCACCAACAGTGGAGAGGGTTTCCCAGGTGTACAAACATCATATTGTCTCCCTAGTGTAAAAACCTGAAAAAGTAAATGAAACCTGAAAGATGCAATAGATATTGTGAAAGGGAAAGAAGTTGCTCAAAGCAAAGGAACAACTGGGATGAGGGAAAGGAGAAAAGAAAGAAGGAAGGGAAAAAATATATATGGATATACAAGGATAGCTGAGATAAATGTACTGCTGATATCTATTCATTCATTGAAAGGAACAGTTAATGCTTAGTTTTTTTTTCTGACAAACCAATTTTGCATGATTACATCTGGTGATCTGAACAACTAATTGGAAAACAACAATATGCAATATAACAACCATTGTTGAATCCCTACTATCTTGATTAGTGAAACTCTGTATAATTTCAATTATTTATTATTTTTTATTCTCTTTAACTGTTTGATCAGTCTTGCATTCTAGCATCTGGTAATCTGAGCAACTTCTTTGAAGATAACAATATACAATATAACAAACAACCATTGTTAACTTCCTATCACCTTGCTTTGAAATTCTGCATAGTTTTTATTATTTTGCTTTTATATTATTTTGTTTTACAGTTTTTATTATTTTGCCTTGGTTGTTGTTATCTTGCTTTACTTTAAAAAAAGATTTTAGAAGGAAATAAGAAAAAATAGTTTGTCATATAACTCAGGGATTGGCATACTCCTACCCACAGACCTGCAAGCTAAAAATGGTTCTTTACCTTTTTAGTGACTGAAAAATAGTAATAATATATGAATATATGAACTTCAGATTTCAGTGTCACAAACTTTGTAATGGAACACAGCCACAGTCATTGGTTTTATATTATCAATGTCTATTTTTATGCTATAAAGAATGGAAGAATTGAATACTGTAACAGAAATCCTATGGCTGGCAATAGCTAAAATATTAACTATCTATCTGATGCTTTACAGAATAAGCTTGCCAAACCCAAACATGTCCTATTTACTTAGAGAATACATCTTAATAAATGCTAGAATATGACAGACATATGATTAAAATATAACTGCTATTTTTTGTTTATTTTTTATTAGTGTGTGTTTGCAGTACATTATTACATATATTGTGGGGAGTTGGTAAATATACAAAACACCTCTTCTTTCCTTGTTCTCTACTGTTCCAATTTGTCTCTGCCCCCTCCATCTGTCGGCACCCTTTCAATTTGCAAAAGCCTGTTTCCATTTTTTCTTTCAATTCTTTATATTTTCATCCTCTTTCCCTCCCTGCTATCTTCCCCTCCTTTTATCTTTTCACATTCCTCATTTGAAAAAGGTCTCCCTACTTCCTACTATCTATCTTTAATTTTACTTCTTATATTTGGATTCCTCATACGAGAGAAACCTGTTTTGTTAAAGCTTAAGTGTCTGATTCATTTCACTTAATATTATGGTCTAGGTGCATCCATTTACCTTGAATCCCTCAAGTTTAGTCTTCCTTATGACAAAGTAGTACTCCATTGTGTATAAATATCACATTGATCCATCTATCTGTTGATAGATATATAGGCTGTTATGAATTTTGCTGCTATAAACATAGATATGCATGCATTACTGTAATATGATGGCTTAATAGAAGGGGAAGTGCTGGGTATATAGCTCGGTTGTACAGAGCCTGCCTGGCAAGCATAATTCCCGGCACAAGAAAGAAAGAAAGAGAGAGAGAGGGAGAGGGGAGGGAGAAAAAAAGAAAGATTGACAGAAAGGGAATAGTTTGGTCAAATGGAATTTCTAATTTTAGTTTTCTATGAAATCTCCGTACTGATTTCCATAGTCATTGTAGTAGTATATATTCTCACCAACAATTTAAAAAGGTTCCTTTTTCCTTGCAGCCTTGCCAGAATTTCTGGAACAAAGATGCAATCTGTATTGTTTGAATTTGCATTTCTCTAGTAGTCAGAAATGCTGAACATTTTTTTTCATATATTTAGTGTACTCACTTTGCACTTCTGAGAAGTATTCATTCATTTCAGCTACACTTTTTTTATTAGATCTTTTATTTTGGGAGGTCTAATTTTTTGAGTTATTTAGGCATTCTAGCTGTTAGTCCTCTGTGTGAAGGATAGCTAACAAAATTTTTACCCCATTTTGTATGTTATCCCTTAACTCTGCTGGTGGTTTCCCTTGCTGTGAAGAAGGTTTTTAATTTGATAAGATCCCATTTGCTGATTCGTAGTACTAGTTCTTGTGCTATTGGAGTTCTGTTCAGAAAGTCCTTGTCTAGCTATCTTCAACAGTTTTAACCTATTTTGTCTTCTAGAGGATCAAGGGTTTCTGTTTTAACATTTAGATCTTTGATTCATTTTGAGTATATCTTAGCACATGGGGAAATATATGGGTCTAGACTCAATCTTTGGAATGTGGATGTCCATTTTTCTAGAATTATTTATTAAAAAGTGTATGTTTTTGGCCCTTTTATCAAATCCAAATAGCTGAACATACTTGAGGTTGTTTCTGCTATTTCATTAATTCACATGTCTGTTTTTGTGCCAGTACCATACTGTTTTTATCACTATAGCTTTGTAGTATGACTTTAAATCTAGGATTGTGATCCCTCCTGCTTTGCTTTTACTACTTTTGTTTTTAAGAGCAGAAAATATTTATTGATGGAAAGAAAGCTTCTGTCCAAGAGAGGGACAGAAAGGGGGGCGGAGTGGGTTGCTCAAGACTCTGTCTTTTCTAGGGACTTTTATAGAGCTTAAACACACTGTGAGGTAAGTTTAAGATAGAAGGAAAATGCAAATTACAAGGTGGGCGTGAGGTGGGACAAAACTATGGTCAGCCAATAAGATTACAAGAGTAATTGTTCATGTAAAATTGAATAAACTGGGATCAAATGGGGAAGACAGTCACATAGCAAGCTGGCATGAATACAGAATAGGGGATTTTCCTGTAGGTGGTTGGGCTAGTGACTCTTTCTGGTTCTTTGAAGGTGGTTGCTACCTAATTAGAATATCAATCCCTGATGTTTACACCCTTTGCATGTGGGTACATTTGTTTAGTCCTTTGTCTTCAGGTCTGGCCCACAGCAAATGTCTCCATTCATAAGCTATCTTGTCTTTCATATTGGCTGCTTCAATGGCCTGGCCCTGTCTGACTGCCTATAATATTTCTATATAACTCAGCTGCCTATAACATTCCCCCCTCTGAAGAAATTACCCAAATTGCCATGAGGGAGTAACGCATGATGACTGCTCTGCCTTCTTCAGGCTGAAAGGAGTCATAGTTGTTGATCAGCAGTCAGAGATACTCTTCAGAGGGTCTATCTAAAGACCCTTGAGAGATACCACATGTTTTTATCTTGGGCAGGTGTATAGCTTTAAATACAGAGGAGACAAAGACAAAGAAACAATTAAGTATGCATGGGCCAAATAAGAAGATCACCAGGATTATTATGAATATAGTCAACATTGATTTCCACCAAAAGAAGCTGGTAATGGCCTGCCATAGACAGGATAAGGTCAGAGCTATGAGCTCCACTAGTTAAGCACTAGTCCCAGGTGTAAGTGAGGAACTTTGAAGAGTCTGATGTAGTTACGACTGCATACCCTGCCTTCCTTGTCCCATTTTCTGTGAAGGAGCTGCCATCACAGCAAACAGTCAAATCAGGGTTAGTAGGGGTTGTGTCTGATAAGTCTTCTCTAGCTGCATATATATGGAGAATTAGCTGTTCACAATCATGTCTGTCAGCCTCATTTCCCCCTTTTCTGGCAAAAACATAGCAGGGTTTAAGGAGGAACATGTCTTTATTTGAATGTCTGGTCCTTCTAGAAGTAGAGCCTGGTATTTAAGAAGTCAACTGCCTGATAGCCAAAGGCTCCCTTTGGATGAAAAAGTCCTGTCACATTGTGAGGTATATACAATGAGATCTTTACCTAAAGTTAGCTTGGATGCTTCTGGCACTAAAAGAGCTACAGCTGCCATAGCTCTAAGGCAAGAAGGCCATCCCTTTGCTACAATGTCTAATTCATGACTCAGATACCTATAGGCTATTAAATGGGTCCCCATCCTATGTAAGTACTCCCAAAGCCAGCACTCCCCTCCCATCGACATATAAATTGAAATGGTGTCCTGTGGGGAGGCTTAGGGCTGGAGCATTTAGGAGAGCTTGTTTAAGCTTCTGGAATACTGTTTGGGAATCAGGTTCCCAGGTTAAAATATGGCTATCTGTCTTTCGGGCCTCTTTTCTAAGTTGATAGAGGGGTCTTGCAATCTCCCCATATCCTAGTTTTCAAAGGTGACAGAAGCCTGTAATTCCTAGGAATGCCCTTAGCTGTTTAAGAGAAGAAAAGAATTGGTTTAATTTTGTCCTTTCCCAGTCATCAGGTTCCCTTGGATATGATGAGGCCTAAATATTTTACCTCAAGACTGCAAAGTTGTGCTTTACATTTAGAGACATTATAACCTCTA